CCAGTATATAAACAGAGAGCAAACCCCATTCTATTCCAGCACTGAAGATGTTACCTAGCCAGGTAATGAAACATTTGCAAGAAAACAGCCAAGGAGAACCCCAAGGATTCCATAAGTCTTTATAACTCAGTGGGAAGACTATAATGATAGGGTCAGATTCATATTCCTGCAGCACTTTCTGCAAATTGTTCAAGTTCTCACAAGAGTAAGGCATCATCTTCATATCAGAGTGCAGGTAGCCCTCGTTCAGCAACCACAATTGGAACCAGCAGTTAGGTTATTAAATGACATGGTCACTAAGTGGAAAATCATGTCACTGCAACTGTGCTTACAGTTTTGCTTCAGCTTTTCTTTCCTTTTCCTTTTTCCTTTGCTTTGCTTCAGCTTTCAGCATCAGAAAGATACAACCCCAAATAGCCAGGCGAGCCCAAGCAGTGGGGAAGGTTTCTGGAACTTGTCTCACAAGGAACTTGGGTAAAAGGGCAAATCTTATAGCCCTTTTCCCCACTCCCCCACCCTGTGGAATGCTCACCTGGGGATAATTAGCAGGAAGATAATTGATACTTGTATTTACAGTCATTGGAAAGGAAGGGAGTAAGCAGGCACCCAATGGGGAAACACACATTGAAAGGAATGCACAAGCACTGGCTGTTTGCCTAGTGCTCTCACATCTCCAAGCCCCCAAGCTCCCAAGCTAAGCTTGTGAACTTGTGGTTAGAAAAGCAGCTCAGGAAGAGATGACTTGTTTAAGCAATCTCTGTGGTGGGGGCGGGGGGGTGTGTCAGGCATAGGACATGCGTACTAACTGACTGTAATGGCAAACACATGACTGAGAGATGCTGAGAAGAAGACGTCTCTCAGTAAATGCATGCCTTGGTCGCAAAGTAATGTCAGCACCATTGTAACTTTGAATGCTTGCTGCACGAGGAAGTCAGTAAGCAAGGTCTACATGTACAGGCAGTTTAATGTCACCAACCAATACATCTGATGCCACCATAAGTCTTTGTTATATATTCACTGATTAAACAATGAAGAAGACATTGCACATCCTTGTCTTACTTCATGCTCAGGGCTGAACTATTTATTAAGTATTCCATTTGTTCTCATGCACGCTTTATTTCTGTTGTATACTTTCTTTACTGCATTCAGCATCCAACTTTCAACTCCATATTGCAAGTCATGCCATAATTCAGTTATTCACTTAATTATATGCTTTAAATCAACAAATATACATTAAATTTATTTTTGCACATTCATGCATTTCTCAATGACCTGCTAAAGAGCAGAAATCTTGTCTGCACACCCTGTGTCCAGTATAAAACCTCACTGAACTACCCAATTTTCACTCATTGTCATTTCTCAGACCCTTTCAAAATTCAAGCAGATTTTTGCCAAAAAACTTCCTAGGCATACTTAACAAACTAATTATGTGGAAAAGACCATATTTCATCTTCCATCTCTGCAAAAGTTAGAAGTAACCCAATGATTATAACAATGATTGTTAATATACAGAATCAGTGGGCTCCCACACCCATTAGTTCAGTACCATACAGAAAACTGGATCCAAAGTATATACAGCTGCATGTGTTGGACCAGATATAATCTGATACAGGTGGTTATGAAGTGCTGAAAAATAATCTTACTATATATGTTAATATTCTCCAAGAGCACAAGGCTTGAGTCTTCAGTCAGTTCTGTCAGATAAAATTGAGAAATTGTTGGGTGGTGGTGAACTATTTACCTACAGAAGTCCATTCCTATCTGCCATTCCCCATTCTAAGTAGGGATACATATAATTGACAGGATACCTAATCAAAGAGACAGAATCCTTCTAGACTAGAGTTACTCTCTTCCTTGCCTTCAGTCAGACTTACAAGATAACCAGGATATAGTATTTGAGAGAAATTAATATTTTCCCCTTTATCCAAGGAAATTTCAGTGACATAATCTAAGTCAGCATGCTCGTTCATAATGATATCAGGAAGGATGTATTAGATAACCTGGTATTTATAATATCCACATACTTGAGGCGATTCCAAAGTTACTGAAGCTTAGGGGAATAACAGAAAGATGTTTAAATTGCCACATTTGAGAGCATATCTTTGCTCATCACATTTGCTGCCCTGTACTTCACTGTACTTATAGAATGGCCCCAACAACTTCCACAGGAATTTCTCCTAACACAACCTTGTATCTCACTGAGTCCAACATCTGAGCCCTTGCCACTTGCCTTCACTGAAGGAATGTCAAAAACGGATTGTTTCCTTTGGTACCAGTCCTTCAGGAGGGATGCTGCTCCAGGCAATATTCTCTATATCCCTTCCCCAGGGATATGATGCAGCCAACTACCTTGGTTTCAGCCTGTTTCTGGCCAACATAGTTTTTAGCTGGTTTATTCAGGAGGAGAAGGCCATAGGTAAATGGGCAAGTTGATATTTAAAAAACCCTCAAAGGATCTTTTCTTGAGAGTTTAAAGCCTGCTTCTATCTCCACTTTTGGTGCTTGGTCATTAAAGACCCAGTCCAAATTCTCTATAGTCTTGCTCCAGAAATGGATGAAGCTGAGTCAACTTTAGAGGCAGAGAAAATCAGCATCACATTCAGCACTTAATATTATTTTAGGAATGGGTAGGTCTGTACTATTAGTGAAATACAAATGAAATTCATTCTGTGTTTTTAAAATGTTTTTGATTACAGATTTTTAAATTAGCCCCAAATGTATTGTGTAATTTCAACAATGTTTTACTCTACTCTAATTCCTCCAGGCTCTCTGACATCACTGTTTGTCAGACTTCCATGTGGTGGCATTGGGGTAAGCATTTTTTCTTATTTTATCAAGTAATACAGCAGGATTTTATTCGATTTAAACTGACTAAATAATACAATTCTCATTTTTACTGTAGAACTCATACTGGATTAACTTAGGGGAAAACACCCTATGCAGTAATTTTAATATTCAATAAATAAATAATATTGATAACTGATTTTTCATTTGTGATATTCTCATCTCTGAAATGTTTGCATCTCCACCAGAGCTCCCCATTGCACAAAGTCTTTTTCACATCAGAGGAAGAATATGGGTTATATCTTTGTTCCAAATATTATGATTGTTTGATATCAGCATGCTGTTTTGAAAATGTACTTTTTTTTTTTTTTTTTTAAAGATGATTTTTTGTAAATAAAAGTGTAAGAGACTCCATGTACTTTGGTTTTTAGATATATATATATATAGATCTGCTATATTGGCTTCTCAATTGATTCTTCCATTTTAGATTCACACCATCTCTATAATTTATCTCAAATATTAAAACAACATCAACATAGTATTAGTTTGGGCCTGAAAATAGATTTCTTATTTAAGATAAATGCCATAAAGTGAAATACAGTGAACTAGGGCATTCCTTTCTTGCCAAGAAACATGATTGCTGTCCTGTTTTGCCACTGCACCAAGAAAGTGGAAGGATTGGTTGCATAGTTCTGAAGCACGATATTTGAAAGTAGTCTGTAGAATATGTTGTTTTACTCCTTTTCCATACCATCAGGGTAACCAACAGTTATTGAATAACTTAAAGAATTATCTTGTGATGTATTATTATTGTGAACTTGTGTTCATGGTTTTTATGATGAACACATACAGGCTTTCTGTTGCTCAGGTCCCCACTCTGGAAATAAGAACACTGCTCCTTTTCATATTATACTGTACATCCTCTAAAGCTCAGTTCCTGCCCCTTCACCACAGCTCTGCTTTGAGCACCACATCAGTAGCATCTGAAGACTAAGCCCTACTCTTACAGGAGATATTCCCAGCTTTCAAAGTAACTGAACGTTGGAGGATTTCTGTAGCCCATTTAAGAATCACCCAATCTGCTTCTTGCCAGTGTGGTTCAAAATGATTACATGTGTATGGATGCTGTTCATTATTTCATAGGACTATAAAACCTGCACTTCTGCATGAATCATCCTTTATGTGGAATAATCCAACTATCATGGGTAAATGTCACTTTTCCTTTTTTTTAAGATAAAAAGCTTTTTTTTTTTTTTTAAAGATTTCCACTTATCTTTTCTGATGCTTAATGGTACTTAGACACCATCTGGGTTTCACCTTTCCTGTCCCAAGTCAGATGTGATTCCATCCAACATCTGTTCTCACAAATCTTCAGTTCCATTGTGGAACTTTTGTGCCTGATGCTGTACCTCATGGTACTTACAGGGTCAAATGCAATGGTGACTCTGACTGTCTTCCTTTGCATGCAATGGCTCCTGGCTTAATACCTACAGGTTTTCCTGGCTCCAGCCTATTATGAAGCACATAGCTGCCGATCCCACGCTATAATGCCTCTTTGTTAGGAATAATTTTTTAGGGAACATACCCACTTGTGCCCCTTATTCGTTCTGTAGCAGATATATTCTATATTCCACTTATTTCCAGGAACAGGACACACAGGCTGAACATGAGTGGCAGTTCAAGCTTATGACAAGCTTCAGAACAATCCAAGCTTTCAGAGTCTTGCTAATACAATTCGGAGTTCAGATGACATTAGAAATATTATGGTTATTTGGTACCTAAAAAAGCAAGGAACAAATTTGTTGATCTTACAGAATCTGGCAATTCAGTTCTGGATCTCCTGCACAGCTAGAGAGATCTACTTGCTCCCTGGGATCCGATGACTGTCTAGTAGTTTGATTGAACTGTTTGATGTTAATGACTCATGACCTGAAGCTCAACCAGAGTGTTAACTTATCCATGTTTGATATTGGGAGCACCCTAGCATCCATACACAACATCCAATGCTACTACTATTCCAGTAGGATAGGTCTAAGGCTTTTTTTTAGATGCATTACAGTTCAAGTACATGCTGTACATATTCCCCTGTTGCCCTTGTGAAGATCATGTGGGACACTAGCACACTGATAGCTTGATTAACACATTAATCATGGTTTGTCTCATTTTTCCACTTTCATAAGGGAATGCATTTCACATAGAGAGGAATACCCTTCTTCCATCTATCTCTGTGAGCCACAGTATATAATTAGATATAGTATAACATTTGGACTTTCCAAGTCTCTAGTTGACAGGCTGAAGACTGATTGTGAACAGTTTTTGTACTTTGTTATGAGTTTGACCAAATAAGCTTTTAACATCAGTGTGTTTCATAGATTCTGTTATTGAAATTGAAGCTTCTGTTTTTAGAGTGTGGTCAAGAATAATACTTGAACCCATTAGTACATGAACACTGATATCTTGCCTCAGACTTCTTTTCTCCAGACTGAACGTTCCAGTTTCCTCCAGCCTGTCTTTGTAGAGCATGTCCTCTGGTCCCTATATTATCCTTGCCACCATCCTCTACACCTGTTCTAACTTGTCAATGTTCTTTAGAAATATGGTGCCCCAAATGGTTCACAGGTGAAGCCTCATCAGCACAGAGTAGAGGGGAATAAGGACTTCATATGCTTTTGATATAAGGCTTCTTCTAATGCAGCCCTTTTAGTTATCGTACATTGCTGGCTTATGTTCAGTTTGATGTCAGTGTCAGTGACTGGACCAAAGTCTTTCTCCAGTGTTGTGCTTCCAAGTCATGACTTCTTGGACTTGTATGTGTTCTGTATATTTTTCTCCTTTACGTTTCTTCCTGTAAAAGCACACCTTGTTCCTGTCAGCATCATCTATCCAAATTTGATTGCAATCTCATTTTGTCATTCTGGGTGTTGTCTAAACCTCCTGATTTTGTGTCAATTTATCACTAACCACATAGCTTCAAAATTAATTAAAACATTCTCACTTAACTTTTACTGTAATAATTTTAAATTATTGCCTTAATTTTTTTTGGTAACACTTCTAAATAATTTGACTAGTGATAAAAATATTGTTTTGGAAACTATTCCAGCTTTGCTGTGGTAAATACAGTGGGGCAAAAAAGTATTTAGTCAGCCACCAATTGTGCAAGTTCTTCCACTT